CTCGAATTATTTTTTATAATCTAATTCTATTCTAAAATCATGTTTAAAGGAAAGTACAATTGTTGTGAAGAGCCATAACACAAATCATTTGGGGCAGTTCCACAAAAGAGAAGAACAAGGGCACAGGTAAAGACTTCATTCACCTCAGTGCACCGTCACTTTTGTACACCACGACATATATTTGCACACATGCTTGTCCTTATTTATATTCATACCTACATCTCTGTATTCATCTAGTCAGCTCAATATTTATCTAACAATGTCTCTGCTTCTACACTCATTTATATGAGTTTGTTGTATATTTGCTGCTCTGACAACTCAATTTCCCCTCTACGATGAATAAGGTTTCTCTGATTCCAATTAATGTCCATTAAATCTGCGTGATCAATGGCATGCAATGGAATTTAATGGCAAAAACGCATTATTTTTTTTAACACATTGGGGGTTTACATGTTGTTTTAGTGAACGACTAAACTAACTCTGATCAGCTGTATGGAAACAAAATAAACAGACTCTTCATATCAGAAGCTCAACCTGCACTGTGCTCACAGCACAGTCAGCGCTAAATCTGATTTGAACTGACCAAACTATACAGTACCTGTATGAATACTATGAAGGCCAGAAGTGAGAGGCTGTGGAGTGGGACGGTTTGTGAGACTGAGATTACCCAGAATGCACCAGTAAGCGACACAGGAAATCATTCCTGGCTGTGGATACCTCCCTGCACAGCTCCTCCATCTAATGCACAAAACACACTTTTGTTCTACGGTGAAAATAACAATTTGTTACAGTTTAGCCTAAAATGTCAATGACATATTTCTCCTCTGCAATATTTTGGACATTTATAATGGAGCTATTTATATATATTACAGCTACACCTTATATTTTCTAACTGTGTAACGTATTGTGTTATTTAATTTTGTTCAATGTTACTGCTCTTATTGACTCGGAGCGACTGTAACCACAGAATTTCCGCAGGGATTAATAAACTCTTTTCATTTCACTTTCCAGCATGCAGAGAATGTGTTAAACGTTTTTCTCTGCCACCTACTAACAACATACACAAAGAAC